ACGGCATGCCTGGGGAGAAGGTGTTATGTCCTTGGGGTACATTTCACACTGTGATAGTTGCCTCTTCCTCCAATTGAACACGTCCTCGTGTTCCAAGGTTGCATACATCTTTGGGGCCTTGCACTAGTCCCCTCTGCGTAAGTCCTGGAACCTGGGTAACACGGTCATTGTACCTGGCAAATTTCACATGTCTGTCACTTGTATAGCGTGTCACATCCATTGTGTGCTTAGAAGGTTGTCTATCTGTTCCGTACGATGGCCGACAGCGGCCGCCACTTTTGATTCTGAATATTGTCATTTTGTACAGCTTTTTTGTCAATTTTCGTTGACAAATTACAACTAAACTGGTAATGCTATATGTCCATATACAGTTTTTACACTGACAATTTACACTGGAGAAAATCATTAAAATTCTTTCTTGTGATATGAAATGAGGATACATAAAACAGGGTACTTGAAGTTGATAAGCTTAAGGTTCTAGCAGAACAGCAAGGTCGGCGTGATTACAGATTAGTATTGTCTTCTAGATATGCTTTCTCGACAGATTGTAGTAATTAATTCATAAAATTCCATGTTGGTGTACCAGATGGTCACATCATAAGTAACCAGGATGAAATTTTCCAGGTCTATCAGAAATTTGATTTTGTTCATAATCGGACGTGTCTTTGATGTAAATGAGGATACATAAAACAGGGTACTTGAAGTTGATAAGCTTAAGGTTCTAGCAGAACAGCAAGGTCGGCGTGATTACAGATTAGTATTGTCTTCTAGATATGCTTTCTCGACAGATTGTAGTAATTAATTCATAAAATTCCATGTTGGTGTACCAGATGGTCACATCATAAGTAACCAGGATGAAATTTTCCAGGTCTATCAGAAATTTGATTTTGTTCATAATCGGACGTGTCTTTGATGTATGAATTTTGTTTTTTAAACAATGCGCACGAGGAAATGATCACATTAGTTACATGTACCTATATTTTCATTCCCGTGCCACATTGAAAAATAATTGGCCGACCAGGTGGAAGTCTTGAGAGATTGCGTTGGCCTTTAAAAGTGTTTCAAGCATTTAGTTATTAATTTTATGTATTTAGAGAGCAAATACAGACTCCTACATTTAAGGTTGTCATTTTATTCTTGCTTAAAAACGGGTATATTTCCGTATCTAAAGTTTTGTTTTTGATACATTCCACAAACTTTTGATTGGATGCTCACATGTAGAGCTACTGAATCCTGTTTTTCTACCTCTACATAAAAGGTAGAATCGAGTTGTCTCATACACTTTGAGGATCGACATATATCCATTATATTCATGTATATACATTACAACAAACGTATTACTTTTATTCGCCTTTTTAATTACAATCCCAAGAATATCTTTTTAATGATACAACATGGTGACAGAATGACGATTTACGTCTAATCTAGGATTAACTGGGTTACGATATCTCAGACTAATTGAGGGTGAAAATCATTAAAATGCTCCTTATCTCTTTCAAGCCACCTGTTTTATGTATCTTAATTTCATATCACACGAAAGAATTTTAATGTTTTTCGCTGGTGTAAATTGTCAGTGTAAAAAGTGTACATGTACATATAGCATTACCAGTTTAGCTGTAATATGTCAACGAAAATTGACAAAAACGCTGTACAAAATGACAATATTCTTAATCAGAAAGTGGCGGCCGCTGTCGGCCATCGTAGTTCCGCGAGACTTTGTAGCATTTGTCTGTAGTTTCTTCTCTTTGTTTTGAATTATTTGAGACATTTGTTTCACTTCCTCTTCCAGTTTAGTTACCAATTTGTCACATTCTTTCAGCTATGCTAATAACATTAGATGGCGCCTCTCAAAAAATGCCGCTCGTGCAGTTTGGTGGTCAGCCTCTTCGCGTAGAACATTTATTCTGTGGTGCGCAGCCTCTATTTGATTCTGAAAGAGCTCCTCTTTAAAGTCCGAGTCCTTGATTTTTGAAAAGGGAAGACTTGCAAATATTAAACGCTTTTCGTTAAAATTCTTTCTCCTTTCTCTGTCGCGTTGAATTTTTCCGTTAGATTTCGTTCTTTCTGTTTGAGTTGAACTGTCAGTCTTCCCTGTAACTTTAATAGTCAGAACGTCATTTCGGCGGTCAGACTTCTGTGTCCTACATAGCTGCAGAACTGTAGCTCTCTGCTTGAGAAAATTCGGACAGACAAAGCAGAGAGCTACAGATCCAAGCGTTGTAAAAACCTTCGATTTACACCGCCGCTTTTTTGTCGCTCGCTTCGGGTATTAATTTCTTGTAATTAATGCTTTGTCTGTCCGAATTTTCTCAAGCAGAGAGCTACAGGACTGCAGCTATGTCCTACACATCCGAGCAAAATGTCCATTCCTACCGCAGTTAAAGCACTTGGAAATCCTGGCAGCACAACAAAACCATGCGTGTGTAAGTCCGCATCTTCTACAAATCGGATTCTCGTTATGTACAAAGTATCTCACACGGTATGCATGGTATGGTGTGTCCCAAGCTGGTCCAAACGAATACTAGTACGAATCCATTGGGGGGGGGGGGGGGGGGTTAGCTCAAAGATACCTTACGGGATCGCGTATCAAACTAAAAAGTTGATACACCAGATTATCTCACCAATTGTGACCGAGAGAAATTGCATAAGTCGGTTTCCGTTTTACAAATTTATTAAAACTCCAAAAACTTAACAAAATCTGCAAGATCGGGAGTCGGTGGTCCGAGCGCCTTGACTATCGCTCTCCACTGCCAAATATTCTAACATTACAATTGATATAAAGATACAAAGGAATATTTTAAAAATAGAATTAATGAAAGTGAGAAAAATACAAATAGATATCAATTAACGGCTTAATTAAATAAACAAAATGTCATTTTAATTGTCCAGATAAAAGTCACTCAAGGGCATGCCAGGGGAGAAGGTGTTATGTCCTTGGGGTACATTTCACACGGTGATACTTTTACGAATCGTGTTCAGTTTAAGATTTATAAGATTTTTTTAAACGAACTGAAAATTCAGTGCGGAAGTAACGTCATACAGAAATTGAAAATAATTGTTGTGATGCGGAGATAGACGTAACCTTGAAGTTATCTTTATAATTATTTGAAAAAAAGCATTCAGTATATCTTAATGAAATTTTTAGGCAGTCAAAATATATAAATTTTTATATAAAATTTTCTCCACGACTTCCTTCTGGATCATCGTATCAGCTTTTTAGTTATCTTTTTACTCCCATACTATATGGAAACCATTTTTTTTAATGTAAATTCATAAAGCTTTCCGTTGAGTAATTACCAGCGTGCTCGACAACTAGGGTTCACGTCCTACTCTTGTCCTTTTTGGCTCACCTGAGCCATAGGCTAAAGTGAACTTCTAAGAACAACTAGTAGACTAATTGTTCTCGAACAATTAGAGGTCTTTCCACCTTCTTTCAATTTCAAATATTTTTCATATTTTACTCTCTAAAGTTAATTTCTATACAAAAAGAATCCATAAATGGCTTGAAAGAATAGAAAAAATGAAAATTTAAAAAATTTTGAAATGACCTTGACCTTTGACCTTAAACAAATATTAAAGGTGAAAGGTCAAGGGTCACATTGCACTTGACCCCATGCTTCTACGACTTTTAGTTTTAAAGTTATAAGGATTAATAATAATCGCAAAGACGTTAAAGGGCGATAACTCATATAAGGGATCATCAGATCCTTTCACACTGAATAGATTGAAGTTGTGTCTAAAGACCCTTAAGACATTAGTGAAGGTTTTGGTGTCTGTACAGTTTACGGTTTCGAAGGAGTAGCGAAAACAAGGTTTTTAGTGAAAGGGGCAATAACTTTTAAAGGGGTTAATCTTAGAGGACATGTATAAAATCTGTGAAATAGTTTTAAGAGGACATATCAAAGATGTAAAGATATATAGTATAGGTTGAAAGACAAAAGAGATATAAAAAGAGCTTAATTTCTCATGTTTTGAATGACCTTGACCTTTGACCTTGACAAAAATTTTAAGGTCTGAGGTCAAAGATTCTAATGCAGTTGGTTCCATGTCTCTACGACTAATCGTTTTGAAAATTTTTCATTATACGTAAACTTCATAAACTTTCAGGGGCAATAACTCATTGAAGGGATCGACAAATCATTTCGCAATGAATAGATTGAAAGGTCCTCTCAAGTAGTCAAAGACATTGGGGAAGGTTCTGTATCTCTACGGTTTACGGTTTCGAAGGAGTAGCGATAACAAGCTGTTCTTGCGAAAGGGGCAATAACTTTGTAAGAGGTCATAGGTCAAACACGGGGGGTCGTTTTTCGGAATAACTTTTAATATCCAGTGTCATGAACTATAAAGTTTTTCGATAAGTCTTGCGGTTTCAAAAGTCCGGGAAGAAAAATAATAATAATAATAATAATAAACATAAGCATTTCAAGAGGTCTTTCCACAGAAAGGTGGAAAGACCTAAATAGTGCCCGGCGTCCGTCTGTCTAACTGAACCGTGTGTCGTATAGTTGGTATCATCTGTAAACTTTTCACATTTTCAACGTACTCCACCGGGAAATCAAACTTCGACGTTTAACATAGGTAGTGACTGTTCCTTTGCAAAGCGCTCGGCACTTAAAGTGTAAGTCATGGGTCTTAAAAAACCGAGGCCCTTTGTCAAAGTAGACATGGCACTATAAAGATCCCTCACTGCTACGGCCGTACAAGTGCCATGCACAGGTCAAAATTTGTGGCACTTCACCTAAAGCACTCTCTATGAGTGAAAAATTATCGAATGGGACGTAAAACAACATAAAATATATTAAATCAATCAAGAGTAGCAGAGCCATTCTAGTAATATGTAGCTTTTTCAACTTTCAGACTCTGGGGTTAGATAAGCTAAAATTTGGGAATAAAGATGAATTACTTGGAATATGTTTTCATCTGTAATAACCCTATAATTGCAGAATGGTGACCCTCTCAGTGAAACTTAATCAATCATAATAAAATATTAAACAACTCCATGATTTGTGGAGAAATTTTATCTTAAAAAAACCAACCTGTGAAAACTAACCATGTACAACATACCTTAACATTTCACATCCTCACACGTAAGCAAAACAAAACATTTGAAGAGATCTGTGTTTGTGAAATATAAAATTATAAAAATATAAATCCATTTCAAACACTCGTCAAACTTATTCTGAACATTCTCTGTTAAAGATGAGTTACATTGTCTTTCCAAGTGTTATCAAAGGATTGTCCAAAATATCATGTGTACTCTGGAAGATTAAAGGCATCAGGAGAAAAAAAATCTGACACTTTGTACAAGATAAATCCCTGAAATTACAAAATGAGCATTTTTTCAGTTTCTGCACACAAGTGATTTGTTCGTTAAAAAAAAAAAAATGAATTAATTTCAGAAGTAGGTACAACTGACCCTTAAATTTCAAAACAATTGCAGAAATCTAAAATACAGTTGATCTTTGTTGATTTGAATACTGAAATCTAAGAATACCATGGATATGTGTATGTGAGATGGAATTCCCAACTATTTTTTTATGCATTAAAACTTCACTATCTCAAACTCTGGGATATCTTGAATATTTTCCTTAGCCCCAATGATATTTGCAATAAGAAGGTTTGACTGTACTCTAAAAAAATTCTCGAATAGGAAAAAAGACTTCTGTGAACAAAATATGTCTTAAATCGCCAACTGATAATTAACATTAATGCAAAGCTAGCCTTTTTCATGAGCATTGCATTGAGCAAAATGAACTTGACAAAAATAAATATCATACACATTAACTGTTGCTAGATGAATGTTCACATAATTTGAAGCCAAAACTAGTTTTCAATTTGCTTAATTGACATGGTTATTCTTAAAACATGGGAAACTGGACATTTTTGTTACGACTTATATTATCAATGACTGTGATGTTACACAATATTGATGAATTTATCACTTAATAATGAATTTGCTTGCATTAATTGGTTGAGCAAGACATTTTGCAAATTTTATATAAACTGGGTCTTAGGACAAAAAAGGAACCCTAATGTACCTACTTCTGTCAACTAAGGCTTTGAAGTTGACACCTAACACATAGGACATTTTTTAAAAGTTCAAAGTGCATAAAAAGCTATTAAAAACAAAATGGAATGGTAGTTATATATTGTCTCTTACACCAAATCTAGTTGATAATTGTTAATTTTAAGATTTTTCACAACTCCAATAACTTCAGTAAAATTTGACAATGGTAACCTGTGTTCAGATGAAAGAGGTTTAAAATGTTGGCACTTCGTACGTTTTTGATTGTTAAATGACATTTCAAATAAGAGTGGTTTTTAATCTATGCTACAAAACAATAATCAGTAAGTGTATGCTGAAGAAAAAAGAACACAACACACACCAAATATGTACATGTATACAGAAGAAGGAAAACACTAGACAAAATGTATACTGCAAAAAGAATAATCCTTTAAAAGTAAATCTGAATCCTGCATGAGAAACAAAATAAAAATCATATGAATGTGACTGGCAAAGTATAAATACACAAAAAAATTATTATTGGTAAAAATAATGGAACAAACAAAAAAATTTCTTATGGCACTATCAATGCTTGAAATACAAATAAAAGCACAAAATAAGCAACTTTATGGTCTTCAAATCTCCAAACTAGAACAAAGGTAAAACTCCTAAAATATGGCACAGTTCAGAAGACAAATTCCTTAGAATGTTTATGTTTATGATCCATTAAGCCACAATGTCCAATCCACTTGCATCTGAAACCAAATGTCTCATCTGACCTGCAAGAAACAATAACTGAAGTGTAAGGAATTGTAAAAAACAATAACTGAAGTGTAAGGAATTGTAAAAACAATAACTGAAGTGTAAGGTATTGTAAACAAGAGGCCCATGGGCCACAACGCTCACCTGAGTATCTCTGGCCTTGCTGTTTTTCACCTAATTTTTCTCCCACCCCCTCCTTGTAGTACTTATTGTGGCCCCACCCTACCCCCAGGGGTGATGATTTGAACAATTAGAATCTACACTACCCCAGGATGCTTCCACATAAGTTTCAGCCTTTCTGGCCCAGTGGTTCTTGAGAAGAAGATTTTTAAAGATTTTTACCACATATTTCAATGTAAAACTTAGATTCCCTATTGTGGCCCCACCCTACCCCCAGGGGTCATGATTTGAACATTTGGAATCTACACTACCCCAGGATGCTTCCACATAAATTACAGCTTTTTTTGCCCAGTGGTTCTTGAGAAGAAGATTTTTGAAGATTTTTACAATATATTTCAATGTAAAACTTGGATTCTCTATTGTGGCCCTGCCCTACCCCCAGGGGTCATGATTTGAACATTTGGAATCTACACTACCCCAGGATGCTTCCACATAAATTACAGCTTTTTTTGCCCAGTGGTTCTTGAGAAGAAGATTTTTAAAGATTTTTATCACATATTTCAATGTAAAACTTAGATTCCCTATTGTGGCCCCGCCTACCCCCGGGGGTCCCGGGGGTAATGATTTTAACAATTTAGAATCTACACTACCCAAGAATGCTTCTGCATAAGTTTCAGCCTTTCTGGCCCAGTGGTTCTTGAGAAGAAGATTTTTAAAGATTTTTACAATATATTTCAATGTAAAACTTAGATTCCCTATTGTGGTCCCGCCTACCCCCAGGGGTCATGATTTTAACAATTTAGAATCTATGCTACCCAAGAATGCTTCTGCATAAGTTTCAGCCTTTCTGGCCCAGTGGTTCTTGAGAAGAAGATTTTTAAAGATTTTTACAATATATTTCAATGTAAAACTTAGATTCCCTATTGTGGCCCCGCCTACCCCCAGGGGTCATGATTTTAACAATTTAGAATCTATACTACCCAAGAATGCTTCTGCATAAGTTTCAGCCTTTCTGGCCCAGTGGTTCTTGAGAAGAAGATTTTTAAAGATTTTTACAATATATTTCAATGTAAAACTTGGATTCCCTATTGTGGCCCCGCCCTACCCCTGGGGGTCATGATTTGAAAAATTTAGAATATACACTACCCCAGGATGCTTCCACATAAGTTTCAGCTTTTCTGGTCCAGTGGTTCTTGAGAAGAAGATTTTTTAATGACACCACCCATTTTTTGTATTTTCTTGATTATCTCCCCTTTGAAGGGGAGCTGGCCCTTCATTTTTACAATTTATACTCCCCTTCACCCAGGATCCTTTGTACCAAGTTTGGTTAAAATTGGCCCAATGGTTCTTGAGAAGAAGTTGAAAATGTGAAAAGTTTACAGATGGATGGACAGATGGACGGACGACGGACAACGGGTGATCAGAAAAACTCACTTGAGCTTTCAGCTCAGGTGAGCTAAAAACAATAACTGAAGTGTAAGGTATTGTAAAAAACAATATTCATAAGTCACCTGCTTAAAACCTGCTTAAAAAATTCCCTTTTTAAAAGCATAGAATAGACAGTTTTATAAAATAGAATGAACAAACAGAATGGAGAGGTAACCAGATATAGGATGAAATGTACCCATGAGGAAAAAAAATCACTACATAAAAACATTTAATTTACATGTAAACAACAAAAAGAAAATGTAGATCTTAGTTAATCCAAAACAAGGCATCTCAGCACAGCATACATTTGATTTCATCACTTTAAATTCATGAATGATATATGTTAATCCAGGACTTAATAATACAGTTTCAACCCTCAACACCACACTGCTGCAATTTATATATTCTCGGAACTACATACAAAACTACATACGAAGCATTTCTAGATTTGAGTATATTTAAGGTTGATTAACAGCATTTCATTGAAAAAGAAATAATTTTTCATGTTGAAATTAATCTTTCACTCATAACACAGTTTGCTCTTTCAGTATTATACTGCTGCTGTTAATTTTTCCTCAAACTGAATTTAAATTAAAACATTTACAGATTTGATTAGATTTATACCAATATTACTTTGGAAAAGAAATCCAGTACCAGGTCTCAGTTTCAGCTAATAGTACATGTACATGTTTATCTAACACTCATAACACTTTTAAGTTTTCAATCTCAACATCACACTGCTGCAGTTAATCCTCAAATTTGAATTCAAAAGAAACGCTGTCAGACCTGATATGAATTTGATTACCGGTATTTCATTGGATAAGAATTCCATTTTCAGGTTATGTGTTGGGCTAATATTGTCTTTAACTATAAATATACTTCCTTTTTTCAAAATTCCATTTGTATTTTGCATGTCTCTGGGTTTAATAATTTTGATCATGTCAAAAATTCTCTCTATCCAAAAAAAAAAAAAAATTATTTCAAAATTGGTAAATAATACATATTCCCAAAAACCTACCTTTTGTATTTCTTTGAACAAATACCCTTTTTTATGTTGCATCTTTTAAAACAACAGCAATTCAACAAAATGCAGTACACCCACGACTTACCTGTGATGTCCATTCTGTAAAGAATGAACTTGTCATTGCCTGTATGCTATCACAACCTATTCTTAATAGATTACCAGTTTTCTACTATTTTTTTGTTGATCATGTTTTAGGTGGAAGAGAGGCCTCTAATTGTCCATTCTGTGAGAGAAAGAACTGACTGAGGGCCTACCCCATCTATTCTTTCTCTCACAGAATAAAAAGTAGGAGGCTTTTCTCTTTTAAGTGGAACATGTTGCGTTTCCTGGTATAAATAAAATGTTTTGTACATGGATCTTATCAAAGTCCAGACCAGCAGCTGACTATAATAAGCTGGCACAGGGCCCTCGAGCATTACATAGCCTAACTATCAGCTACGAAAAACATCAACATAAAAATGACTGGATGACAATGTGCAGGATATATCTACTTACTTCGCATTTCCTCCTCTGTCTGGCCTTCTGGGTTAAACTGGATTCCATAGTAATCTTTACCTTGGGACTGCTTTGACAGCTTCTTTTCTGTAAGAATTTTATATCAATTTTCAAAAATAAAAGACAGAAGGGTCCATCTTATTCTCTGTATCAGATGTTGGCTTTTAGATTTTTGTTCGTAAAGACAGAATACTGCAAATCCAATGGACAAACTTACGACAGAAGTTCAGTAGTAGAAATGCAAGCAGAAAAATGGAAGTGCTAACGACTGCATATATAATAATGAAGGCCCAGTAACCGGAGGTAAACCCTGGATCCCTTAGTCTTGCTCGAACCACTTCTGATGAATGGGTAGATGGAGCAGATGTAGTTGACATGATTATAACAGCTGAACCATTTGATAATGGGCTGTAGGTCACCCCTTTTATGGAATCAGTAGAGTTTGTGTCATTACGATGGAGGACAGCGGGTGGTATGTATTCCACTAAAAATATAATAAAGGATTAAGACTAAACTGTCCAAAAACTAGACAAGAGGCCCATGGGTCACAATGCTCACCTAAGTCAATATGGCCCTGCTGTTCTTCATTTATAATAGCAGATTCTTCTATATATATATATATATTCCTATGTAAAACTTGATCCCTATTGTTACCCCACCCTACTCCAGGAGTCATGATTTTTATAGCTGTATCCACACCCTACACCTCAGAGTCATGATTTGAACAAACTTGAATCCCCTTCAACCTAGGATGCTTTGTAAAAAGTTTGGTTGAAATTGGCCGAGTGGTTTTGGAGAAGAAGTCGAAAATGTGAAAAGCTTACAGACAAACAGATAGATAGACGGACCCCGGACAAAATGTGATCAGAAAAACTTTCAGCTCAGGTGAGCTAATAAGCTAGGTCTAAAAATCATTACATAGCATTTGGTAGTCATTCAATTGAAAAGTGTGTGGTGATATTTCGAGAAGTCTTGCTAGGAAAGGTTTTATTAATGAACAAGTTTGTGTACACTACATACAGTTAGTAAAAAGGGAGAAAACTCTAGCTATGTGCTGTAACAACTAATCTGGCCAATGGTGAATGCACCTGAATTATTACCTCACATACATATTTTGGCTTGCAATTCTCATTTTAAAATTTTTTTAACACTAATTTCCTTTTGAAAGCACCAACTTAAGTTCCTTCCAGACAGTTTTTTCCCCCTATCACATCCATGGCATGGGATGGCACCCACAGTAACAGAAACCAAGAAAATATGAGGGACCAGACCAATTTTCAACTTGGACCCTCTTACTTGTATTCTATCTACTAATTAAGCTACAGGTATCTGAACATTGGAGAAAGACCTGCCTGACCACCACACTCCATATTTAATGTGATTTAATTAATTAAAATAATTTAAAGTTGAAATTTTTTTATACAACTACATATCATATGCCACAGTTTTACGATAGGTTGACATTCAATACTGTTAAATTTGATGTTTAATAAAAACTACGCACTAAACTGGCACTGATCCCCCATGTACCCATCATCGCAGTGACATTTATAACCATCCTTGTTAGTCAGACAAGTTCCATGCTCATAGCAGACTTCACGTTCACATTCACCTGCAAAAACACAAAAAATTTACAATATGCAATCAATAAAATAATGAGATTTCTTTCACCATGCACAATATTCAGAATGCATCAATTTATAAATTTGAACTTAAAAAATCCATGTTAGATAATTGTTCCTCATTCTATCCCAAATCACCCATAAAGAAACTTGAATACATACTTAGCCCTTTTATAAAACAATCATTAGAATTAAGAAATAAAAGGTACACATCAGTGTAACTTACAAGGAGTAAATTACTTAAATTGTGCTTATTAATTGTATTTATACATTCATTGTTCTGTTTTTTTCAATGATGGATTGTATTCCATGACCAATATGGGTGTATTATGCAATAAATAAAGAATTATATACATGTATATATATATATATATATATATATATATATATATATATATATATATATATATATATATATATATATATATATATATATATATATATATATATATATATATATATATGTTTTTCAGTGTTTTTTCTCTCAAGTTAAACTATATAAGTCTTTGTATGGAAAAATGAATATTCCTATACTTAGACTTTTTCAAAATAGTGTACAGGTCAAATGATGCTTTGAAGTTGAACACTGACTTACCAGTGAGAGTTTTGTATGCAATTAGGACTGCAACAAGGAAATTAATAGCACCCAGACACAAAAACCAACAGAGGCAACATCTCACATTTCTTGAATCCATATTTTACTCTGAAGTGAAATAAAAAGAATTTAATAATTAAATATAATATCAATAACCCTATCAGTAAAATTATTTTTCGAGTTGACTATCAAAAAAATAATGGCATAAGCATAAACAAATGGCATATAACTCTTTCATAAATTTCAAGCTGCACATACCAAGCAGGGAGACCTAACGTGCCATATTATATTTTCAAACACGTGTCTTGTTTACATAATATAACATGCACATTTTGTGAGCACTCTGGCTACAACCGGTAAGGCCATGACACCGGCAAAGTAAATCGCCTAACAAAAGATCTTTAAATTAATAAAAATGCATTGTTATTATATATTTCCTTATGTGTAATATAAGCTTAAATATTTTTCCTCGAACAAAGTTTTACACAAAGAGCTTATCACTAAAGAGTCACCGAGAGTGAGAGAGAGTCCCATGCACCCCTAAGAATGACACAAAAGAGTTTCAATCAAAGAAAAGTAACTCATGGCAATAAAAAAAAGGGGTAACTGTACCTGCTTTGAACAGATGAATGATCATATCGCTCTACACACGCACACAATTGCGTTAATAAAAAAAAGACATCCTATTTATAGACTGAACGACCTACATGTAACTGTTCACGAGCTCAACGAGTGATGCACCATAACCAATGGACAAAAAAGTTTTATTGAAAATATTAATTATAAACATATTTGGGCTTACCCTAAAATTTGTGAAATATTTGATCGTGAAAATTCTTTAAAAAAATCCTCAAGAAAAAATGAAGATATCTGTGTTGTTAAATCCCTTCAAGGACATTACGGCTAAAATTTGTTAAAATGCAAATTGTGTCACGTGCGTGCTGGCATTGTCTTATTTGGCGGGAAATAAAAAAAAAAGACAGCCCATGAAAAGAGGACGGGGGGGGGGGGGGAGAGAATGTAATGAATTAGGAGGAGGGACAAGTATACTACGGTACCTTGGAAAAAACCAAGTCAAGTATAGACAATAGAGAATATTTTATTTCCAATCAATAAGTCTTGCACTCAGATTGGCACGGTTTAAATCTCGCAAGGTTATGCGTGTACATAGTGTAGTAGCAGGAGAAAAAAAAGGGGGGGGGGGGTCGGGCTTCCCGATGGAAGGCTGTTGCTGTTTAATTTAATTTAAGAATTTTCACTATATAGGCACGAAGACTGCCACCCGAATTCATACATTTTTTTCCGAATATAATCTTTAATTTGCTGTTAGTTTAGTATGAAAATCAAAACTCATTAAAAAGGGCTGTCCCCTACCTCCACCCCATTTGCTGGTGCAGAATAGTCAAATCCTCCCATCTTCAAAATGTTTCTTCTTGAAATCGAGTTTGATCGATCGATTAATCAGACATATCTATATAATACGTTAATTTTATTTGATGTGCGTTACATGCATAATTAAAAAGTTTTCTGCAAATAAATGTACTGATATCTTCAAACCTGATTATTGCGGGCATTAATTCAATCGTTGATATCATTTTACTTCTCTAATGAATTTGTATCAACAATTGATCTGATGCGCACAGAATTCCATTTAAAGTACAATCACGAATTATTTTATGAATGCGAATAATATAGGTGAATTATAATTGCTCGTTTCAATTGACTTACTAGTACTGCGAGCATCAATTAAGTTATTACCCGCAATTATTACATGGCCGTAGGAACCGGGGGGGGGGGGCACGGGGCGTGCCCCCCAATAATTTTGCCGATATATAGAATACTTTAGAAAACATAACTACTTTATGCTTGTGCCCTCTCAATAAAAACGTGTGATGACCTTTTTTTTTTCTTTTTTTCTTTTTTTTAGTTAGGTAGTTGTTGAAAGTGCCCCCCCCCCCAACTGAAAATATATAGTTGTGCCCCCTCAAAGTGAAATCGGGTCTGTTTAAATTAATTTAATACATGATATCACTTATCTGCGGTATTGATATATTTTTAGACTAAACGTCATATAAATAGAGGAGGGAATTCCCAGCCTAATTTCATTTCTATATTGTAGTTATGGATATACTTCTCTTCGGACAACTAGTTGATTTTCCTCATGAAAACAAAGGATTCCTTGAGAGAGGTAAACGTTCAAAATTGTCTGTAAAATAAAATTATTCACCAATTCATTAATATTGACACATATAAAACGTATATAAGACAGATTTTAAATTAGAATTTGAATTGTGGCACACACACAAACATATATATATTTTTTACTGTACCAAGAATTTTACTTATAAACGTATATATATATATATATATATATATATATATATATATATATATATATATATATATATATATATATATATATATATATATATATATATACATGTAGTATTGTTTTTGAAAGGGGGCAGCCCAGCCAAAAAGAAATAAATAAATAAAATAAATTGACAACTTACCCGAAGACAAAACTTTGACAAGCCAATAAATAAATAAATAAATAAATAAATAAATAAATAAATAAATAATTAAATAAATAAAAACAAACAAACAAAAAAAAAAAAAAAAAAAAAAAAAAAAAAAAAAAAAAAAAAACACAAACAAAGCGAAAAAATCCTATTTCGTGGGAAGGGGGAGGGGGGTTCCAACCTTCTTTCACAACCAAATTCTATTCATACATCACCACAAAAATACCCTGGTTTGACTTTACTGCAACAAAAAGTAAGGGGGGAGAATCCTTTCAATGAACTTTTCAACAGTAAAAGGTTATTTTTGGAAAAAAAATGGGGAAGGTGACAGGCCTCCAGCCTCCTTGATGCTACATGCCTGATTTAATTATGCTAGAATTTTTTTGCATTAATTGCATGTATACATGTTTTTACAGGTAGAAATGCCAGGCAATATTGGAACTGTGTTTGGATGTTGCAAATACATAAAGATAACCATTTATGGAATGACAGAGTCGTTCAAAAGTTACAAAATCGGAATGAAATAACCTTAAGTTCTGTGTGTCAATGGGTTGCGTCATATGATGGTATATTGAAATCAGTTACAACAGAAAACTATTGCTTGAAATTCAGTATAAGGATATTTTCGAAACGAAACTATGAAAAGTTTCGTCACTTATTGGTGGAGAATCAATTAGAAAGAGATTTAGAACCAATCTTGTTAGATAAAGAGGTTTTAGAACACAATTCTAGAAGCAGATATCATATGAAAATTCTTCATCGTCGTTCTTCTTACACTGTCATTACAAAGGAGGCTGACGGATATGAAAGTGATGACTCAGCACTTTCCTCAAATCCAGACCTTGAGAATCTAGCTCAGGTAGAGTATTACAGTTCATTCAACTTATATCATAATTATCATGTTATGTAATGCGGAAGCGTATCAGTGCCACGTAATACCTTTCAAAGTTGGTAACTCTAACTTTAAAGTTGGTAATTCCAACTTTAAAGTTGGTAATTCCAACTTTAAGATTGGTAATTCTAACTTTAAAGTTGGCTTTTCCAACTTTTAAGTTGGTGATTCCAACTTTAAAGTTGGTAATTCCAACTTTAATCTTAGTTTTTCCAACTTTAAAGTTGGTAATTCCAACTTTAAAGCTGGCTTTTCCAACTTTAAAGTTGGCGATTCAAACTTTAATGTTGGCTTTTCCAACTTTAATCTTCGCCTTTCCAACATTGTATGGCTTTATGCTATTATATTCATATACTTTGTAGGTAGACTCGTGTTGCTGTTTTATACATGTAAATACAATGGAAAGAAACGATTTAATTATGAAATTGTAATGAAAGAAGGAATGATTTCATGGTGTTTTTTAATATACAGAATTGATACATTTAGTTCAATTGTATTTTTAGCATAAAATATAATGTTGATTCATGAAATATGGAGATAACGCACAGTAATCAAGCTCAAAAGCCCATTTAAACAATACAAATCTGGAGCAGAGCAAACACGCGCCTCTAGAAACATCAAAGGTGGGATCAGGTGCCATGGAGGAGTAAGCACCCCCTGTCGACCGGTCACACCCGCCGAGTGCTCATTTCGTGATCGGGTAGACAATCCGTAGACAATTCAGTATTTAAATAATGGCCTAACAACTAGTATGAAAAACGTCAGTCAGCATTTGACTTAATGATAAACTGTATTTGCTGACAAGGTCATTGTATTATCCTTAATATCAAACAACTTAATTTTGGTCTCTTTTGTTTAAGCAAAACAAAATATGACTAATCTCCTAAAAAGATATGTTTAAAATCCTGTCATGTACGAAGATGTATGAAGTTCACGTCTATAAAATTATATAAGATGAAGCAAAAGATATACAATGTATAAGGGCTTTTAAAGTTGGAAGTTATATGTAAGGTCATAGGGAAGGTCATGGTAAAAAAATGACACAATTGAATTAATTAATTGCTCACCAATTTGTTTCAGTGTATTAAAGTTGCATCAATAAAATTAGTAATTATTTAAAATAAAGGGGAAAACTAAAGAAAAGGGTTAGAAAAGCTCAAATTAAAGTTGGAAAAGCCTAGATTAAAGTTGGAAATACCAACTTCTAAGCTGGAAAAGCCAACTTTAAAGTTGGAAAAGCCAAGATTAAAGTTGAAAAAAGCCAACTTTAAAGTTGGAATTATCAACTTTAAAGTTAGAAAAGCCAAGATTAAAGTTGGAATAAGCCATCTTTAAAGTTGGAATTATCAACTTTAAAGTTGGAAAAGCCAAGATTAAAGTTGGAATTAGCAACTTTAAAGATGGAATCACCAACTTTAAAGTCGGAATTGCCTACTTAAAAAAATATATTACGTGGCACTTTTATGCTTTCGTGTTAGCGTTTGTTAAATTAAAACAATAAAAAATTCTTTGGTTGTTAAGATTGGAATTAGTTTGCAACTGTAGCAGAATAAAAAATCCAGAATCCGCATAAGTGGGTTATATAAATTTTTCCTGCAATAGATGCAACGACAATTTATTGTTTATATTCATGTCTTCATAAATCATATAAAGTGGGTGTAAGGTGACTGATAAATAACGATGAAATAAAATATATGTATCCAATTGAACATGTCAATATTTCAAAAGTGTTAACAAGATTCTCGGAAAAAAGTAACCTTTAAAGGTTTACAAGTGCAAAAGGTTCTTTTAGTGACAGTCTCTTACATGTAATAACTCAATTAATGAAGACAAGTCTACATATGAGTAATTTTACCCCTATCCTAACACACACACACACACAAAGCCATGGGCCTTGATGATCACCTGAGTATCAAAGTTTCTCAGGCTATGTCCCTCTTAGAACTGGGTGAATTCAAAAATAATGACCACCAAATTGATTTTTTAAAAAAAAATCAACTACCCATAACATATTTTCACTTATATCATCATATTGTACATGCATTCTAATTAAAATTCCTGAAGTTGCAATAGAATAGCAAGTTGATAAAAAGTTTCAAAATTTTTATTATTCAACTTTATTTGAAAATAGAAAATATCACTACATCCTAAAAGACTTTCTAAAATACAAAATCAAAAGAAATTATTTTTTTTTTGGCTTCAAAAGGGTATCAGGGATATAAATGATTAGATTTTCATGATTGACTTTCTTCTCTTGTATATGTGGAAAAAAAAAATGGCGTTTTGATTGTTATTTTACATTATGTTTTCAATTCTGATTTTTAAAAGTTCTAATAGGAAAGAAATATGAAAAAATAAAATTTGTCCATTTAAGTCAATTCTTTAAATCAAAGCCAAAAAGAATTTTGATATACAAGTTTTCTTACAAAAAATCTAGATTTTGAAGTGACCCTATTTTACATTAGTTGACAGACATAATGTTTTGAACGTCAAATAGTATCTTGAAAACATTTTTTTTTCAATTTCTTTTTTAGTAAAGATAGATGAAGATCATTGATGATTATAAAACAGTTTTGTTGCACTCCTGGCTGCAGTAAAATTAAAAATTAAAACCATAGAACACAAAAATTCATAAAGTGTTTTCAACATCAAGAGGTAACGAAATTGTGCATTATTATAGTCCAATACTTCACAATTAAAACACATAAAAGTTTATAAACTTGACTTTATATCTTGAGTTATTCCCTATTTATGTAAAAAAAAACTTAGCTAAAATATATATTTAGAAGATAAAATAAATTTTACAGTACATTTTCCTTCACAGGAAAACACTGAAAGCAACTGAGGTCAACCAGAAACATTCTACTCATCAATTTTTTCTTTGTATTTATTCATATTTGAGCAGCAATAATTCGAACATATTTATTGCACTTTTGACCAAGAGCTGCACATGAGAGTCTTTAAAGTAGAATTGTGAAGCTAAAATTACATCAGAACTTGTTCTGTTGTTTCAGTGAAGTTGAGGTGGAATTACTTGAATTTAATAACGATGTTTTCAGTGTGTTTATTTTTTATATTCATTAAAAAAAAAAAAAAGAAGAAGATAAAAACACATCTGAATCGATGAAATTGAAAAAGAGAATGACTTTAATAATAAAACTGTCAATAATTTAGTACTGAATTATTCAAATAGATCATTATTAATTAAAGAATTTCTTAGCATGAATAGAAGTATTTTCATCATATAGCTTGAATCTTTTTAAAATCTGTTGCACTCCTGACCATAGAAATATAGATCTGAAACACCGACAGACCCTGTAATTGATAAATCTTTTGGTAAAAATGTTCTATGTGTCTTCATTTTCCAAAATAAAACTTAGAGAATCATATTCTGATAAAAGTTTTTTCATGCTGGGGATTGTTGAAATCCTGACATTATTGGGTATGCACAGATACTTGACTCTCATTAATGCTGCTTGTGATTTATATACCATTTTTAAGTTTTAAATTGTATATCAGTTATTGTTTTACACTTTAAGAATTCTTTTTTGACTTAATTATCTTTCAGATTTTTTAAAATTAATGTTTTTTTGGCAACACTACATTTTTTCTGTTGCACTCCTGACATGGTATAACATTTTTTCAACTTCAGCCATGACCACAACTTGGTCAAACAAAAGTTGCTACGGTCTACATTTCAAGCTCAATACTTTGATTGTTATCAGGAAAGTCCTTATTTCCAACATAAACCATTATTATTTATTTCAAAGGTCTTGAAAAAAAAATATTGAATTTTCAAAATGTCACAAAAAGTGTTGCACTCCTGACATTTTTAGCATCATTTTTGGGCAAAACTTTTTTGTGAATTGAAATATCAATGAGATATTTGGCAGGTATTTAGAACTTTCTATATCCTAAGACATAGAAATTTATTACCATTGCCTGTATTTTTAGTGCAGGTTGATAAATAAGTGTTTGTTCATTTTTTTTTATTCACCCAACTTTAACTCTGGACCCTAACAAACAATAATATTCATATGAGGATTATGATAATCAGTTTGCCTCCTAGAAGTTCAAGGGTAAAAAAGATATGGTACACTGTGTAATAAATTTCAATTAATTAACAACGTAGCCCAGCCCTGGGACTTGATTCCTGGAGCGGAAGAACATAGACTTTATATATTGTAGAGACCAAGCTGCTCATTATAATGATGTAAACAATTTGCATGCTAAACGTTCATGAGTAATAATGAATAAGCTTTTCAAATATGTAAAGTACTTTCAATACAAGATTAACGTAGTTCAACCCTGGAATCTTACCTGAGCCAGAGGACCAGGAATGGATGATGTGCTACACGACCCCTCAAGAGATTGACAAAAAATGAATATCCGAATTTGAAATTTTTTTCCCTGTAGTTAATGTTTGATACGTGTACTTTCACTGAATACCACTTTCATTACCGGAAATAAGATCATATGGAAGAAATATATCTCTATTTCAGGTGGAGTACACTGTTAACATCCAATTCCCATTGACTTTTTAGCCCCGCCCTACTTTTAAAAGCACTTAAAAGAGGTACATTTTTCTCCTTCGACTGGTCAGTGTATTTTATCAAATCTACCTATATGTGAAAGGAGAAAAATGTACCTGAATGCGCTCAATTATAGTATGTTTGAAAACGTTCGGAAATCCAATGGCCTTCCTCATTATAAACGATTGTTCTTTACCTGACGTGAACTTGCTTGACCTTTTAAAACCTTACTCATCTGTCCTGGTGAATACACTTAACTTTTTGTTTTAGAACATATATAACGTGGTATACATTCATCTCAAATGTTGTTGACACTTCATATCATCGCAATCATGGCCTCGTTAATATAAGTGGATAATATATCCCCAGCTTTGTTAATTGTTGATTATAATAAAATTATAATTATCTTCTTAACTTCACACTGTCTACACCACTGTATTTTGATAATAAATTTATTGTTTGAAGTATTCAACTCTCATGAATACATACGTACTTTGATTCCTGACTGATATACATTGGCAATGTAAATGTAGACGAGTAAAGCCAAATCTATTCACTGAAATGCATATCCGTCTATTGTACTAAGACCGATCCATTCTTTTCGCCTTTATTCATAAGACAACAAATGGTTACAAAGCAGCGCGAATTTAGATCTTATAGGGTTTAAAAAATCAACGATTGTGCAGTATTCCTCATAATTTTAAAGTATCCAAACAATTATCATGCAAACAATTTGTCTGCTAGAATGTCAAAGACTAAAGGGGATTTTCAAAGGTGTATTGTATTTTCAATATATGACTAATAAAATATGGAGATAACGAACAGTATGACTTTAACTTTTCAATCGTAAACTTCCCGTACTTATGCAGCAATATACCCTTATCACCTGCATACGGGGTCTATATCTCTCAGTTGATTCGATACGTCAGAGCATGCTCTACGTATGAACAATTTCTAAAACGAGGCAAGTTATTGACAAACAAGTTGATGAAACAAGAATATCAACAGTCTCGTTTAAAGTCATCATTTCGTAAGTTCTATAGTCGATACAATGACCTTGTCAGCAAAGACAATCTACCATTTAGTCAAATGCTGACTGACTTTTTTCATACTATTTGTTAGGCCGGTCACACCCGCCGTATGCTCCTTGTCATGATTGGGGAAAAAACGGAAAAATCCGTAGACAATTCAGTGCGTAAATAATGGCCTAACAATTAGTATGAAAAACGTCAGTCAGCATTTGACTAAATGACAGCTTATATTTGCTGACAAGGTCATTGTATCGACGATAAAACTTACGAAATAATGAAATCAATCGAGACTGTTGATATCTTTGTTTCATCAACTTGTTTGTCAATAGCTTGCATCGTTTTAGAAATTGTTCATACGTAGAACAGGCTCTTGCGCATCGAATCAACTGGGGACAAAACCCCATATGCAGGAGATAATGGTATATTGCTACACAAGTAAGGGAAGTTGACGATTGAAAAATTGAAGTTATCACGTTTATCATAAAGCTTTGTTGTTGTTAGGTTACAATTAAAGACTTTTTCTAGTAAAATATCCAAATTTGAAACAGATTTGTCAGACTCTATGGCATATTTGTCGACATATGAATGGAAGTAACTATTGTTACTTAATAATACGTCGTTGATGTATCTAAATGTAGAGTTGAAGGCCACAGTAAGTGCTTTCTTCTTCTCATGTAGAAGTTTTTGAATAAATTCTGCTTCATTTGAATACAAAAATAAGTCTGCTAACAAGATAGTGCAATTGGTACCCATGGGAATTCTAACAGATTGTTGAAATATCCGATCTCCAAAACCTACAGAGATATTGTCAATCAGAAACTCAAGCATCTTTTAAATATCAACTTAAGAGTACTTGTGTGTACAATCGAATGCTTTTTAACAAAATAAGTTTGCATATGACCAATGACAAGGTAAGTATATTTACGAGTTCCATTTTTATTGAAAAAGCAGGTGTCTATGATGTCAAATAGTCTGGGCTTTAATTTATGAATGATTGTATAAAGTGTTGAAAAGTCGTACTTGTTGATGTTATTGATTTTGATAAAAATTTTGTGAATTCAAATTTTCTGAAAGTTCCTTGGAGGTTTTAAGTATCCACATCTGATTTACACCACTTCTCGAATGCACTGTTGTACAGTACTTCTGAAGTTTCTCCTTCACTGCTGTAAATATTTTTGTGAGGAGTAAAGAAAGAGGCTTGGTAGAACATCTACTGGAACCCGCTAGGTATCTTTGTTTGCAAGGATTTTTATGGAGTTTTGGAATCCAGTATAGGTATGGTAATTCAAATTCATTTTGAATGTTGGGAATATTAAAAATATTTAAAACTGGCATATGGTTTTGAAGAATTTCATCCTTAGAAAGGGAGCTATGGGTATAAGTTGGATTACCGCTTGCAGAATTAAATCCTAGTTCCTCTAAAATACAATTCAAATAATGAGCCTTACAAACAAAGACAATGTTATAACTTGCTTTGTCAGCGGGGACCAGTACATACTGATCGTGTATTCTATTTGATTATTATTTCACTCCTGCATTGTCGAAGACAGAAGGATAGATGATTTTCATATCGCCCACAGGCACTTGGGGGCTGCCCCCTTTCCATTTTTTCTTTTTTTTAAATCTGGGATTTACACACCTTTTTTCCTATTTTTGTATTCTAATATGCATTATATGTTATCGGTAATTTAATTCTTTTGTCTCAAAAAGCTGTTTTTGAGTATATCATTTTCGACTGATACATAAAAAGAGAGTTTACGTATCAGTCGAAAATGATATATTAAAATATTTCATCACTGAAATCTTCTTACTAAAAGGTAGCTATGCCAGACGAATGGTTTAACAACTTCACACGGCGTGTGGACGAAATGCAGACAGAAATAAGAGAGTTTAAACAGAATTTTATTGAAGCCTTAAATGAAAACTTTAAAGCAATATCTGAAAAACTTTATGGACAAATCAGAGAAGTTCATAGAAAGATGGAAAGACTGAATGAGGATGTAAAGAGTAGTGATGCACAAACTGAAAAGATGTCCAGCGGCAGGTTTCAGCATGTATTTCAGAAAATTGAGCTTTTACGTCGGCAGCAAGAACAGACGTTTTCCAAAGTTGCACAGCTTGAAAGTACCACGACAGAATCAAACGCACTTGTTTTTGAACTTCATCAAAAAGTGGATTCACTGAGAAGGACAGTTCAACAACACAGTGGAGATATAGAGAACAAATCTTCAGAGTGCTCGCGGATAAAGGAACTATTAGCAATGATTATAAAGAGCTTGGAAATGGACTGTTCACTGAAATGTAAACTTAGTCCACAAGGTTTATCAAGAGAACAGCTTACTGTGAAATCTGAGGAAATTTTTTTAAATGTTAGACAATCTGATCAGGTTAATTGTAACGCATCTAGAGACTCTAATGATTCGGAAAACATTGAGTCCCATTCTTCCATGTCGACAGAGGACACAAACGGAATTCCAGATAAAAAATCAACGCTGACATTCAAGGGCGAGATGGATGATCTCTCATCTTGTGAATTTAATGATACGATATACCCCTTCTATTCTGAAGAACATGTTATCAAACAAGTACCGACCGACATCTCTCCAGAATCAAATAGACCCTTATCTCCTACACTCGCAAAGGCAATCAGCGAATACGGAAGTGAATTATTAATTTCAGGTAGGGCTCAAAACTCGTAAAGATTCAATAGCATAATGATGTACATTAGAAAAAAACTTCAAAGGTCAAGGTAAGACATTCTTAATATTTTTTTCAGATGATAACTTTAGTTCTCTTTGAGCTTTTGCAGATTTAATGTTTTTAATCTCTCTAACTTCAATGCGACTCCAACTGATTTTGAGGTTAAAAGATCAACTTTATTTTTTGAAGATAACGAACAGTAAACATGCTCAAAAGTCCACTTAAACAATACAGTTCAGGAGCAGAGCAAATACGGACCTCTAAAAACATCAGAGGTGGGATCAGGTGCCACGGAGGAGCAAGCATTCCCATAAAATTGTTTCCAGATAATAAACATAATTCTGTCAGAGCTTTCGCAATGAAACCAAAGATGATGACTCTAAATTAAAAACGACCCTATATTTATAGGTCAAAGGTCAAGGTCAGAAATTCATATATTGCAAAAAATGTTTTCAAATAGTAAGTTTAGTTCTCTTTGAGATTTTGCAATGAAACTTAAGGTGATGACTCTTGTTTATTGAATTTGAGGGGAAATGGTGAAAGGTCAAGGTCACACAATCACATATGTCATGAAATGATTCACATTAGTTTAGAATGATATCTCTAAAAATCTTTAAGCTTTGAAATGCAATTTTATATAATAACTCCCTGTGACTTAAAGACTCATATTGGTTTTGAGCTCAAAAACTCAAAGTTCATGGTCAGAAATTATTATGTTTTATAAAATGTTTTCCACATGATAATTTAAGTTCTTTCTCATTTTGGTACTGAAACTTAAGGTGTTGACTCTCTATCTTAAGAAGGACCCCTATTTAATATGAGGCCAAAGGTGAAAGGTTATGTTCACAGGTTCATACATGGTATAAACTGATTTGCAGATGATATAATGTTGAGGTGAAAGAGTCAAAGGTCAAGGTCAAAAACTTATGTTACCAATTGTTCCTGAAAATATTTCTAGTAAACTCCTGTCCTTAATTCCGTTAATTAGCTTGTTATATAGTATATACAATGTAACTTTGTTCAAATGGTGGTCCTTGAAGTATTAATGGGACCACAATAGGGAGTCAATATTTGACATAGGGAATCGTAGAAAAAAAACTTTTTATCAAGAAAGACTGGACCACATTTTATTAAATATGCAAGCATATTCATGTAATGTGAATTCAAAGTTTATTAAAATTATAGCCCTTGGTTAGAATGGGACAGTAACGTGTGGTGAAAGATTCGTAAGGGTATATATTAGTAAAATAATCTGTAGGAAGCTTCTTCTTTTGAACACCAGGTCAACACTTAGTCATTGCGATGGAGCATGATCATGAAGTGTAGATTCAATAAAAATTGTGACTCCTTGGCTAGGGGGATGCTACAATAAAGGGTTAATTTTACAGTCATTATAGGATTTTTTTCCCCTCAAAAACAGCAAGGCCACAAATAGTAATTTTAAAATGTATGCATTTTCATGCAGTGTATAAACGTGTCCAATAGGGCTATCATGAGGCTACAATAACGGGTTGAAATAGAATATGGGAATATATAGGGAAAAAAATGAAGAAAAATCTTCTTCTAAAGAACAGAAGGGTCACAACTGGTCAAGGAATAAAGAATCCCTGTGTGAGCGAAATATATATTTGCTCTAATTATGTTCCCTGTGGCCAGGATTTGATCACTATTGGGGAATAAAATTTTATAAATTTTATACAGAAATATATTGACATTAATAAGAACAAGGTGAACACAATATGTAAAATTGACATTAAGCTTCAAATTGTTGAAGTCGTTGTCTTCAATTTTTTTAAAACTATAATAAGGGTCTCTGCTTATCTACGATTACATAATCATCGAGCATTGTGACGCAGTGATCTCTTTCCTGAGCTAAAACCTCAAATGTGCTTTTCTGATCAAAGTTTTGTCTGTCATCTGTATGTTGTCTGTTGCTGTTAACATTATACATTTTTAATTACTCAAAAACCACCAGTTCAATATCAATCAGTTTCAACCAATCTTGCCACAAAGCATCCATGGTTGAAGGTGATATACATTTGATCAAATGAAAACCCGTACTCCTTCGCAAAGGGATATAATTTGCTAGTAGTGATGTGATGTGATAGTCATTTAAGGAATTCTGCCCAGATTCAATGGATTTGAATGCACAACAGATGTGCACTATTTTATTGCTCAATATATTTAGACATGATTTCCATTTATACTTATCAGTATGTTAGGATTGATTGCGCCTTAATTTATGACCTTGAAATGTCCTTCAAGAGTTATCTCCCTTTTTTGAATCAATAAATTTAAAAAAAAATAATCTTTTTCAACTTTTCACTGCGGCATTTGATAGCTTACTTAGTATTTAAATTTTTATGTAAACAAATAGCTTACCTTCATAGACCTTTATGCCATCCTCTTTGATTAATTACTGCTTAGGTACATATATCATATAAAATAGATATATCGTATTCTTAAATGCTTTAGATGAATGCCAGAGCATTTATATCAGATGAATATTTAATTATAGATAATTTTGTTTTATTAGGGGTAATATACCTCAAGAACCACTGTACCTGAAAAGACAAAACCTATGTGGAAGGCTTCCTTATACAATTTATATTCAAGTTAGTTCAAATCATGACTCCTCGGCAAGGGCGGAGACACAATAGGGAACCAACCTTTTGTCTAAGAGTGATTGCGGGGAAATAATATTTAAAAACTGGTCTTTTTAAGACCAACATGGTCACAACTAGTCATATTTGAATAACCTGTAGGGAAGGTTCAAATTTGTTCAATGACCCCTGGGACTATAGGATTGGGTCACAATAGGGGACCAAAGCTTGACATAGAAATACATATGAGAAAAAATATTTGAAATTCAAAAAAAAATACAGAGCCCTCAGTCATCTTCATATGCAAGCATACCCATGTTTTATAAATCAAGTTTGATTGTCACTGTCTTAAGGATTAAAGATGGGTCATAATGAAATGTACAACTCGATGCCAGTAATCCTGACATTTAAACAAGCTTAGAATGAAAAAGGTGAAGATAACGAACAGTGATCGATTTAAAAAAATATTTCAAACGATACAAACTTGTGATCAGAACAAAAATCACGGGCCTCTGGAAATTTCAGAGGGGGAATCAGGTATTTAGAAGGAATAAGTATCTCCTATGTGAGCCCTATGTATTGATCAGGTAGACAGAATATTCCGTAGTCAAATTTAGTATACAGGTGGGATCAGGTGCTTAGGAGGTGTAAACATGCCAACTCCTACCGTGACACGGAACTTTGGTTTCTAAGGTCTCATCTGGACGTCTCGTGACTTTCACCTCTACTGCCGGGCGCTTTAAAAGGGTCTCTCGATCACCATACCAGTAGGCTACCTAGACCGGTCCATAAATAAGGAAAGTTGACGATAAATAAAGCTGAGTGGTCTCGTTTGTCATACTGTTTTGTTGATAGTTAGCCATTATCTTCTATAGTCAGTAAAATATCCAAATATGAAACGGATGTGAAGGACTCTGTGGTGACTTTTATTTCGTGTTCACTGGGATATGTCGAGTCGACATACGAATGGAAGTCACTCAAGTTGAAGGCTACAGGCCAACAGCAAGAGATTTCTTCTTGTGTAGAATTTTTTAATAAATTCAGTTTCATAGGAATATAAAAATAGGTTGGCTAATAAAGAAGCAAGATTAGTGCACTCGGAATTCCAACAGTTTGTGGAAGACTTGGTCTCCAAAGACTACTTAGATGTTGCCATTAAGTAACTTCAGCATCCTTTCAATATCAACCTCAGAGTACTTGTGTGTAGATTAAGAATAATTTTTAACAAATTAATTTTGTAGATTACCAATCACAAGATATGAAAATTTACGAGTTCCATTTCTATTAAAGAAGCAGTTGTCTATGATATCCAAAAGACTAATTTTTGGTTAATCCTGCGGAATGGTTGTATGAAATGTAGAAAAGTCGTTTTAAAGACAGATGATACAAACAAAAAATGGATGCTTGGTATAAATTTTTGGACCTAATTTGGTCGTAAATGATGTAAATAATATATTTCTAAAATATTAAAAAAATTGTAAACTCTCCATGATGTTCAAAATTCTACCTTTCTGCAACCATCCTTATTAATCTATACAACTTTTGTCACTTTAAACACCATTATCGTGAACCTTTGAATGAAATATTAAAATCTATGTGGTTAAACTTATTCATTTTACTTATATAAGCATGATTTATTTGTTATTTTCAAGATTTTTGATAAAAATTTGCTTGTATCATCTGTCCTTAATGTGACTGACTCCTGAAAAAGTAATCATTGTCATTTTAAATTTTCTAAAAGTGTTTTTTGTTTTTCAGTATCCACATTTGATAAGCATATTTTTGAGAATCCACGTTTGATTAACACCACTATGGAAGTAAATAGTTTAATGCAAATTTATTTTCTTTAGATGACGGGGAAGAGACAGAATTGCTAGAAGATATAACCACGGAATCAGCAAGTTCTGAAGAGCCAGCGGATACAGAATCTTACCAAAACATTATCACTGAAACAAATAGAAGTGATCAGCAATACGTAATGATGAAATATTGTACACATAGTAATCGAACTTTGAACCTCTCTGATCATAAAAACTCTAAACTAGTCAGAAGAACAACAGAGAAGGTTCCTGAAGGTAATAATAATGGCTAACCAAAACAAAAAAAGATCATTGAACTAACAGAAAAGATAATCAATCATTGCAAACAAATATGACATATGCCCCCCTCCCCAAATTTAAATAATTCACTTTAATTCAATTAAAAATATTTTACAACAAAACAATTTTTATGATAAATATGAATTATAATGCATTGTTTACAATATTAAATTCAAAAACTGCTCACAAAATCACAAAGAAACAAGATATATGGAAAACTATTTCTTGTAATGTAAGTATATTTAGAAGAGAATTCTTCAAATCTACACATTTGTTTAATTTATTATCTTGGAACTTTAGCCCTATATATTTTTTACTCAGTTTTACTTTCATTCCTTTAAACTACACAGAACTTCAGTCATAAAAAACGAGATTCAAGAAAATATTTTATTGCATAGATTTTTATTACCCCTTATATGACATTTTTAGTGCAAAAAAAGGTCACACGATATTTTTTTGCGCATTAATTTTAGGATTTTTTTCAATAATAAATATTATACAAACCATTTTATTGCCTTGATTACATCAGGTAAAATATGATAAAGGTTAAAGTGATAAGCCTAAAAATTACAATTTAAGTACGAAAAATGTGAATTTAATTGTACCGTTATTCGGTAAGATGCACACTGACCCCCAGTTTTCTTTGCGATTTTGAGGCATGCCATATGAGTAGATATCTAAAATTTACTTCTAAAAAATCCTTGATATAACTAGTATCAGGAGTGACATACTTTAAAGGAGAAACTGTCCAAGTTCAATTTGATACAAACCTTCAAATTTTTTATTATGCAAAAATGAGAAGAATGTCACCATATATGCCAAGTTTAATTCTATAATTTTGATCTTTACTTTATCCAATTAAATTTGGTTCAGGGTGATGACTCATTCTCCGATCAGAAACTCCTTTGTGTCAACCATGAACTGATATTGCTTTATTTCAAATATATGATCCAGACGAAAAATATTTCCATTTCTTAAAATTTGACCTTGTCCAAATGACATTATATCAGGGCCATTACATACCCTATAATCATAGCTTCATTTCCCTATGAGCCAAGTGTCAGCTGGTAATTTATTTTCAATGCAAGATATGGACCTGACAGGAATTTTACATGTCTAATTTCCTTGGCATTGTCCAAATAACATTGGATCAGGTCATTATACTCCTCTTCTGTAAGCTACCTTAATGCTAAGGACATGTACATGTATAAAGATTCCATGTTATTTATGTCAAAAGTTAAGAGGAAGATGGATTTAATAATCATTTGATTATTATTGAAGTATTAAAGACAAAGAGATAGATCTAGAGTGATATACCAAATTAACTAAATACCCCCCTTCCTGTCTTTGATATGGAAATATGCTAGAAGCGGACTGACATTTAAAGAAATTGAAAGATTTTTCTCTACTTTTCAGATTGTAAGGAAGAATTAAATCTGTCAAAAATAAATCCTTCTTATACAGAAAACACATGCATTTCTGATGATAGAATACAAATAAACAATGAAATTGATCATAATAATGCTGATGTGGAAGTCAGCAACAGTGAATGTGATACAGATATTGAGGAAACCTTAAAAGTGTCCGGTTTGACAAAATCTAAACCAGTAATACGAACGGTTAAAGAGGCTCTAAAAGGTAAGACATTTCAACTGAATAAAAAATTGAGGACGTTTATACTCCTTTCAAATATAATTCATATTCGGCAAAGTTATAAGTATTAAGAAAGACTATTGTAAGATTTGCATGCCATAAAAGTTAAGTTCATCTGTTTGTAGGAATCCAGGAAAGGAAAATTGCATAAAGACTTGTTTTCTTCCTACTTACTAATAAATATTTTTGCATTAAAAAAAAGAAAGAAATGATTTCTCTGATAAATGGACTTTTTCTTTTACACTTTACTAAGTTGATCATGAAGAGAGCCGTCTTCACGGGCTGGACACTATGTTATGTGTTGATGTATCAGGAAGTATGACTTCAAAAGTTATGGAACAAGTAAAGTCAAGCATCTTTAGCTTTTTGGATGGTAAGCATTCATGTCTAATAAAATAATCCTAGTCCATTGATTGGGATGAAAGTAGCAGATGGTTATTATTACATCCAAATTTGTTCTTAGATTTATGGCTTGAATAAAATATTACATCAACGGATCAGTCGTTGCGTAATAAAAGAGAATCATAGTATTCCAGTTACCTTGTGTTTATAAAAAATCATGTTAAGAAGAGACAATTCAGATCTTCTTACAGCGGAAATGAGATTACTACCATTTCAGAATGAATGATTATTCGTCTTTTTTTTTTAAGTGTGTTAAAAATTAAGTTATTGATTGATTTTTATTTTCAGTTGTTGAAGAAATTGCTATAGATGATGGTTTAGAAGAAAATATAGGACTTACTGTTTTTGGAAAGGAAACAAAAATATTAGTCCAACTTACAAACGACTACACCAAATTTAGACGGGCAATCGGTAAGGCATCGTACGAAATTATATATGTATTTTATGAATTTTTCGTATTTTATGCACTTACGAAATTGTTTTGTATTTTTTAAATAATCATAATGTATATGACTCGAATGGTTTTACTTGATTTTAAGAAAGTCTAACAGTTGGAGGGACTTCCCCGATACACACTGCACTATCTCTATGTCGACTAGAGCTACAACGTAATGGTAATTAATTTTACAATCTTGTAAAAAAAAATCATTAAAATGTAGTTTTCTTGCTTTCGGCATCTAAAACGACAAGGGCTTTTACATAATTGAACAAAAATTAAAAAAAAAAACAACTTTTATCTATGTCTAGCCTTTATATAAAACACATTTTCCATCATGTTTCCGGATTTCAAAAACGTATTCAAAAGCCTTATCTTGTTTTTGAAATCACACCTCACACAGTTTAAAAAATTTCTTTTCCTTGAAAAAAATGGCTGATTTTTGTTTTTGTTTTAGGACATGCAACATGTATACATGAACACTGTATAGCACCACGTATTATTTTGTTTACTGATGGTCGTGTTACTCGAGATTCGTATATGGATATGTCGGAGAGTGAACATGCACCAAAGGATCCAGAGGTATTGTAAAAACAACTAGTAAAACTGCATTTTAGAAATAGTTGGCACATAGTAGAGATCATTGTTAAAAAAATATATCTCGCAAGACATATTTTTTTTAAAATTTTCATTCTGTCTATCAGTACGATATAGAAAGCCCTTTTTTGTCATCAGTCAATCTCTTCAAGAATTTTGCCTAAGCACTAGTACCCTAGTACCTGTAGATAGAATTCCCACGGATTTTTTTTTAAAATAGTCGTAGTTAGATATAGAATTTATATCATGAGTTGAACAGAATTTTTAAAAATATTTTTTTTGGTGCAAAGAATGGGTAAAAATAAAAAACAATCCTGACTCAGGAGTGAAATGAATTCCATATTTAACTACAAAACATTGAATTTTCTGTTTATTATGTTTACTTTGGTTTCCATTTTGTCTCTGTCTTTTCTAACGCAGTCTCGTAGACTGTGAAGTCATAGTTATACGGTTGAGAGACAACATAGCTACGCGATGGTCAGATTGAAAATTGTAACATGGATTTAAACAACAATTTGGAGATACTTTGGCGGTTTTAGTCCGTTTCAGAGTGGTTAATTTACATTTGCTATCTTAAAATATGGAGTATTTTCTTTATAACACTCTTCTTGAAGGGAAGGAAAATTAAGAGTTTTGCCGCAAGTTTAATATTTTTCATAGAGAATAATATAACTTTTAATATTTTTCACTCTGATATAATATCACTTTCAAAGCTATCATTTGTATTCAATGGATAAAAAACAGTATTTCACTGTGGAACATGTAATAAAAGGTGTTACTTTATACAGAAATATGAGGAGATAACAACATTTGTACAGCAATTAGGAACCGAGGGTTTTCAGCTATTCACTGTGGGAACAGGACGGCAAACAAACAAGGTATTTTTTAGTATTTCACATGTATATTAGTTCAAATAATTAATTCTTAATCAGTTATTACACACACTATCACATTTAGTAATCAGTAACCTATTTAAACACTAAAAAACTTTGTACTTTGTTTATATTTTGTTTTCACTTTTAAAGGAATTTCTTGAGAGGCTGGCAAATTTGGGAGGAGGAAAGTATTTTGATTTGGACAATATTTCGGTTTTGACAAAACACTTCAAATATCAGGTAAAAGAATTTTAAAAGTAATGTGTTTTTAAGACGACTAATTGCATTCTTTGTTGCATTTTACGTTTTATAAAGATGACTAAATGGAGGGCATATATGAATGAATTATAAAAATCTTTATCCAGAAATTATAAAGGATTGATCTCTCTTTGAATGTTCATAAAAATATAAAATTCGCTTTCTTAGGAAAACTCAATCCTTTTTTAAATTGTTCAATTGTTTAAAATTTTAGTTTATTGTTGAAAAAGTAGTATTTACAGTGTACATGCAGGGGAACTGCTAATTTTTCCTTTTATTTTCTGTTTATTGTTGAAAAAGTAGTGAATAAATGCTTGGAAAATACCAATCTTTCTCTTTTTTCGGTTTATTGTTTTAAAATTAATATATATATATATGAAGGTAAACTGCCAATTTTTATTTCGCCCCGACTAAGTCTATGGAAACAGGAAAAATATGCATGCACATTAATTTAAATTTCATTTTTCTCGGTAAGTGCACAGTCAAACTTTTTAAAACTTTAAAGAATTATTAATTGAATTCTGTCGAGGTATTTTCTGCCAAAGTGAAAAAGGTGAAGATAATGAACAGTGATTGATCTAAAAAAAAAATAAAAATCCACAAACAATACAAATCTGTCAATAGGGTATATAACAGTCTCCCAGAAATTTCAGAGACGAGATTAGGTACCTAGGAGGAGTAAGCATCCCCTGTTGACCGGTCACATCCGCTGTGAGCCCAAAGTATTTATCAGGTAGCGGAATATTCCGCAGTCAAATCTAGTATAAAAACAAATGCCTAACAATAGGTACGAAAAACGTCAGCCAATATACGAACGAATGATAGGTTATATTTTCTAACAAGGCCATTATAACGGAAAACAATTTTCGAGATGCTGACTTTAAACGAGGTTTTTGAAATCCCTGTAAAATCAACTTATTTGGCAGTAGCTTGTCTTGGTTTAAAAATTGATCATAGTCGGAGCATGCTCTTGAGTATCGAATAAGTTGGGAGACATAGACCCCATATGCAGGTGACAGTGGAATATTACTACATAAATGAATAAAAACATTACAACATAAATGAATAAATACATAAATAAAAAATGGAATCGATTTCACATAGTTTGTCACTATGTCATGGAAAGAACGAATTTGTTAATTTGTCACGCTTCCCACTTTCTCTCGGGAAATAGAAAAGTTGATGTCCAGTGACAGTTGTGTTTGACATTTCTACATTCTTATTTCTTGCTTTCAATTCCAATAATGCAGCATTTTGATCAGTTCGGGGTGACATATGTTATTTCTTGCAAAAGCAAAAAATTATAGTTCCCCTTATTTTCAGATTATTGTCGGAAATTAATATTATGCCAATGTTTCTCCTTATTTTTAGTTCATTGTTGAAAAAGTAATGCATAAATGAAGGGACATTGCAATTTTTTTCTCCTTATTTTCATTTAATTGTAAAAGAAATTACACATAAATTAAGAAAAACAGCAAATTTTTCTCTTTATTTTCAGTTCATTGTCGGAGAAGTAATACATAGATGCAGGGAAACTTCCATAGGCTATTTGAATATGGATTATAAAACACAACTCCAACAAATAATAGGAAACCAGACCTGTAAGATTGACCAGGAGGACATTGTAATTTTAATATTATTTTAAATATAAAATGTTCTTTTTATTCTATCCTTTTTCAATTTATAATAGCATACCTTCATGTAAATTAGTTGAATCTGATTGATCGAGAGACGTTTGAAAAACGTAAAATGCTACCCTCTGAGAACAACACCATGCCCTCCAATGTGAAGTTACCATGAACAGGAAAAGAGAACTTGACAAGGGGTGATACTATAAAAATGAAAACATGCTTGAAATGTATACCCTTAAGGTTCACAGTGAATTGAGTGTTTTGGCTCTGTTGTGTAATTCAATGTAATAAAAATATTGCATGCATTAGAGGGAAGTACATGTATTGAGAATGGAAAACGTTGAGATGTAGTCAAGTTTGACAATGGTTCTCGGGGTGAAAATTTATCTCGTTATCCCAATTTCGTGCAGTATTTGTTCTCAGTTAATTTACTAAAGCCTAAGAAACTTCAACATTTTGTTAGCACACACACCCTCACACAAACACACACACATCTTATTTGGGTAAAGTAAAAACCAGTTTGTAGTTTTGTTTCTAAACATGTACAATTGAAATATATAATCATAAAATTTGAAATCCTTGACTGATTTGTAAAAATAGTGAAGACTGACAAGTACTTAGTATCCAGTCTTGAATAATTTTTATTCATTGTTACTTCCATATGCTCAAATTCCTAGAAATTCAAATTATCTTATTTTTGTACAAAACCTATAGGTTCAAATAGAGGAGTTTTTATTGTCGTCAGAAGAGTTGACTGATGTCGAGTATCCGGGTCTACCAAAGCTCGGATCTCGTGTAAAAACTAACACTGGAGAGGTGGGAACGGTGGTGAAACACAGAAAACTTAGTATGTAAATAAGACATCGTTATCCGGTGTTGTAATTTGATAAAAAAAAATTCGCACAAATAATGTATGTTGAAATAGTATTTGCTGAATAAACATACTTTCAATGGCAAGTAATAGAATTAATAAGAATGCATTTTAAGAGGCTAGTAACATTGTCTTTTCTGTTTCTTAAAATAGAAAGAACAAGGTTCACTTAGGGCCTTTTTTGGCCCTTTGAATTTCTGAAAAACTGAAACTGCTTAGTTTTAGTTGACTTGCATTAAATTTCATTTAGACTTTTGGCGATTGCGAAGCTACCAAAAATGACGCAATTTTCTGGCTAGTCAATGCATTATGACGTCATGAAATGCGTCATTTTCCTAACATCCTGAACAATTCTACGAAAACAGCCAATTTTTAAAGCTATTTTTCGATATTTAATATAGATCTCTGATCTAAAATATGCAATTATTTACTGATAGAACCGTTTCTAAGGTTTACAAAACATGTTTTATTTTTTAGATCAGAGGGTGCGCTCATATTATTTTTCTTCTCTGAAAGTACTTAAATATACCTGTTTTCCTTTAAATTCAAGAACATTGCAATTCCATAAAGCTTGTTTTCCAAGACCTGGACTTTAAGGAGAGAAATTTTAATAGGAAATGAAAGCACTAAGTCTCTACTTTATCTTAATGTTTAAAATGGAACATAAGGTGTTAGTCAATAAATTGGTATATCTACAGGGCCATTTTATGCATAAAGTGAACCTAGCTCTTTATAGGCTGTTTAGAGTGTTCAAGGCCAAGTTGTTGAGAACACCTGTTTTTGCCTTATTAAGATTAAATTCAATTTCATTTTCTTTAAAATTACAGATTGGATTAAAATTAAACTCGACAGTGGTGATATTATTTATCGGCACTTCATACAAAACGCACAGAATAACGAATTAGCAACAATAGATGATCCCCGAAAAGCAAAAGATGAATTTGACTTTTGTGTCGGTGCAATGGTAGTTGGAGGTACGATTTATTTGCCAGATAGTTCTGTTGTATGAAATGTGAAGCATTTTGTTTTAGACAGAAATTGAGATCAATGTCTCTATTAATTCCAGGTGATCCAACCAATAATAGAAAAGGATTTATTTACGACAAACTGAATTTAGGATTTGTTAAGGTAATTACATTAACCAAAACTACTGACCTTTTAATATTTTATTGTATTATTTGTAATTAATCTAATTATCATTATATCATATACATGTATTGACAATTAAGTTTTTAAATTATAGAATGAGAATGTGTTTAATGGATTTATATTACAAAAGTAGCATTTCTAATATTCTTTGGTTTTATAAGGTGAAGTGGCAAGATGGATTGAGAGAAATTTTGAAAATACATGACCTCCGCCTTATAAGGTACAAGTTTATTATTGTTGGTTTATTTTTTACCTAGATTTTAATAAAGTTAACAGAGTTAAAATTCATTTTCTTTAAACGTATAATACGTGTATAGTTTGAAGTTTTCAGTGACAGAAAAACAGAAAAAGAAGTGATGAATCGAAAATAATGTGAAATATGATACTTAATGAATATCTATTTTATCAATGGATATGTATGTACTGTTATTTTTTCTATGGATCTGAAATAGATGCATGTTCTAAGTGTTGTTTTTAATATTCCTGTTCTATTTTAATTTCAGAAATGGATCTCGAACTGAAAGATGCGATTTTTGACGATTGCCGAAAGAAGTCCACACTAAACATTGTATTTTTTATCTTAAATTTTATTTTTGTCATATTTTACTGTATGCATATATTTTAAATAATATAAGAATGGAATAAAAATATTTACTTATATTTGATGAATCAAAGTTAAAAATTTGCATAATGTACATTTTAAGAAACTCTTTAGTTGAACGGAAATCACGTGAATTTTCAAATAAGTAAAAGCGATAAAAAGTAATGTTTATTACTGTGGGTGTATGCAAATTTTGATGATGGAAGAGCAAAATTTTGGTTGTGTACGTGAGTATTCACAGTCATATCTATCGTCAACGGAACAAATTAATTAATATTTCATATATGAAAACAATGCAGTTTATAATCGGAAACAGTGGGAGAGAAGAGAGGGGCCATGGACATATTTATAAGAAAATAAGTTTCAGCAGATTCTGAATTCTGAGCGGAAATTGGTATGAATTTGATCTCGGTCGATATATTTTTACTGAAAAATTAATCATTTAATTCTTAAGAGTTTTGCTCTCCAGCCTTAATATTAATGAAAAGGAAAATACTGTCTCGTATATTCAATTTTATGGGGGGGGGGGGGTCAGTTGCCAAGTAGCGATTAAGTAGCAATATAGCGATTAAGACATGAGATACAAGTTGATTAAAGGCAGAGATTTTAAGCACCACCTTAAAAATACCTTGTTTGTGTACCCCTGTCAATCAAGTACATTAAGGTACATCATTGGGTGCTAGAACTTGATTGACATTTACCTACTAGTCCCTGTGTATACCATGTACACCTTGTTGGCACTCGTGGTGACCTTCATATAACTTTTGATCCTTTGATATTTACCACAAATGGTATAAACAAAAGGGAAGCTGTATTACTATGGAATTTTTAGTTTGATAATATATATATATATATATATATATATATATATATATATATATATATATATATATATATATATATATATATATATATATATATATATATACACCTTTAGTATTTGAAATAATTGTGATAGTCTTTCTGATACACATGTAATATATCACAAAATTAGGTATATCTTTTTTTCAAAGCTCAACAAATACTTTAAAAATATGTATTTTTTTAATGGATGGGGATGCTTTGAGACACATTCAATTACAAATTAATAAAAATTATTGAGATTAATCTTCATTTACAACTTTTTATTTCTAATTTAAAATCATCTTAAAATCCCAACACAGGTAAAGTTTGACTTCTTGGGTATTCTACTGTGTATTAAATCACTTCCTGTGTATAGGGATTGGGAGACAAACGACCACAGGTAGACTGCTAGCCCTCAAGGCATTCACTCCTGTACAAAATAAGCCCCTCCTCACCTGGAATTTACCACCCCGTAAAAAATCTCTGCCTTTAAAAACAACAAAAATGTCCCCTTTGCAGAAATGTGAATAAACACATGGCCAAATTAGGTTTCGATAACTTGTTGTATTAAATTTAAATATATCTCTATTCATATTTAAGTAAAAGAACTATTTTCTTGTTTACTAGAGAAACGTTACTGTATACAGGGTTATTTTCACCCTGTGTTATTTCCGCCCTTTCACACTTGCAAACAGTTTTACCCCGTTTTAATTTTGCCCAGTCACAGTTCTCTTTAAGAAATTACGCTGTCTTCTTTAAATTCGCTCCCTCTTATATTCGCCCACTTATGTCAAGGGCGAAAGGGACGAAAATAAAATGGAGGCAAAAATTCCCCTGTATACAGTACCGGTATATGTTTGTTTTAAGATGTGATAAACGCTCAATTTTGAAGGTAGAAATTTGAAGATATCAGCTTCCAATTGATGTGAAATTTGTTTCAAAACTTCTGCTCACCACAGAGGGGCAATATTATTTTAGTAAACATACACTAGTGCATATGGCAGTATATAAATATATTTATATAATGTATAAACAATGCATCCGTTGATAATCATTCAAACGAGCCTCTTTTGATAATTAATTTAAGTGACAATTATTCTCCGCTTTTAAACAGTTATGTGTTGAATGTATGTTTTATCTGAAACGAAATTTCGTTTAAAGATTCCCTGACACAAACTTTATTTACGAACAATGATTTTTTTTCCCATTAAAATCTGAAGGACTGTTTTTTTTTTTTTTTTTTAATTTTCTGACTACAAGTTGACTATTATGAAACCTACATTTCATGTAGATGAATAAGGTAGTCATGGTTGTTAGAGAAATTGCAGGGAAATATTTTTCTAGGCTAATCCTCTCAATATATACAAAGTTTTCAGTAAAAATGCCGTGGCATTTAATCGTTTTTTCTTGTATATTTAATAGATTTCATCTGTTTGATCCATGTATTTAATTTCGTCAATTATCATGAGACATAACCGAATTCGCTTCCGTCTTTACTGTTTGACGACAGACAATTACCAAAAGTATTGATGCTTAAATACAACCATTATTATTTTGTGAATAATTTTCTTTGAATATCTACATTTAACTTTAATATGCCATCGTGGTAAGTAAATATACAACAAGGAGTCAGTTAACTTAATAAATGACATGTATAAATCGGATATAAAACATGTATTATAAATTTTATGTTTTTGTCCCTGTTACCATAAATATGCAATAAATATTTTCTTTGAATAAATTAATTTGATAAACATACAATATTAAATGTCTGAGTTATTGTGAACTTGTTCGATGATTATAAAAACGATAGGTCATTTTTGAAGGAAAACACTAGGAAACTTTGTCAAAGTAGATAAAATGTATCAGATAGATACTCTGAAATCACATATTAATGGTTGAGTTGGAAAATGTGCACCACTTATTCTTCTGTCCTCAGTAATTCAGGAAAGGAAAAGGAAAAAAATATACATAGTTGGTGTGTATTGGTTACAGTAATCAATGAAATAAGCTTTTATTCTACAGCTGTTTGGTAATCCAACTTGTACTGGCAGTTCACTTTCAAAGGAAGAGATTTTATTAAATTCAGACGTCGGATTTAAATATTTTCAATATTCCTAACGACCAAATTGAATTTCAGTTACCATCCCTATACCTGATTCCAAAATTTCATTTCAAAAATGCTTACAAAGATATATAGCGGGATTCAGTAAAAATTCTACTAAACCTCTCTCTCTATACTAATAACGAAAATATCATCAGTATTAATGTAGGAACTTCAAATAGTGCTGTGCTACAAAATATTCGAAAAGTGTTATTAATCAAATTTAAATCAAAAATCAAAAGAACCTTTAAATTTAAATTCAATAAACTTTTTACAATATCGACCAAATTAAAGAATCTGACTACTGAACAATTTATGCAACCATTCCTGTGATAAATTGAAAAAAGAAACTATTTGCTATGAAAGATAACTGCTTCTTCATTAACAATAACTCTCTGAAATATACATGTCTTACGCTTAGACTTCAAGAAAATAATTTAGTTAAAGCAATCTGTTTCCTCGCACACGTATTCTGAGCAGATATTTAGAAGATTTGTAATTTCTAAATTAACAATATCTACGCAGTCTTTGGTGACCAAGGTCTTCCAAAATACTGTTGGAATTTCAATGGGTACTGATTGCACCCCTTCATTAGCCGTATTCTTATAAAGCAGAATTTATTTGGAAACTTATACATAAAAAGAACAGGTCTCTTGCCGTAGCCTTCAATCCTACATTTAGGTATATATCGACGACGTTTTAAAATATCTATGAACAATATTAATTTTCATTGATGTGATTCTATATATACTACTATTGGGCTTGAAATAAATGAAACCACAGAATCTGATTCTATTTCATATTTGAAGATTTTACTGTATAAAGACATTAACAGCAAACTAACATCTAAACTCTACGATTAACAAGTTGACTTCATTTTTCTATCGTCGCGTTCCTCATTCATGTTGCAGTATACCTATAACATATGCCAATAGTGTTTTCCAATTGATTCGATACGCATGAACATATTCTGAGAACAATAAATTTCAAAACCGAGGCAGGCTACTGACAAATAAATTTATATTACAGGTATTAGCAGTCTCGTGAAAATCCACGATTACGTTTAGCGGTATTCTGCGTTCGTTACAATGATTTTGTTTGCATACATGAACTGTTGTTGGGGCGAATGTTGATTAACGTTTTTCATTCAAATTGTTAGGCAATTGTTTTCATAATGATTTGTCAACGAATTACTCCATTTACCTGACATAGACAATGGGCTGTGACCGGTCGACAAGGGGATGCTTACTTCTGCATAGCACATAATACCACCCTGGTATTTCTGTGTTTGCCCTGCTCTCAGTTCAATGTTGAAATTGATCACTAATCCTTATGTTCATTTTGTTTCATTGACCTTTCTTTATGTTTCAAAAAATAACACGTTTTTAAATCCTAGCAGTGTCATTTATTGGGAAATTATGTGCATTTACACAAATTCAAAGAATGGGTGTTAAATACACAATCGATAACGAATAAAGTGTGCAAGTATGACTCGTGCAAAGACTAAATACTAGAATATACTGGTAAATACACCCTATCTGTGAGATGCACGAGTTCAATTATCAAACTTTAAGAGAATGTGTCAAAATGATAGTTTTAGTTTTTTTGAGCAATTCATGCATCAAGACATCAATGTCTAGAAAAGAAAAACTGAGAACGTGTTTATAACAAGGCTTTCAGTCGATATATTCTTTATTCATAAACCTAGATAATTAGTAATAGAAAATGACAATTTATCAAATTGATGTACTCCTCATGTTTTTGACAAGGCTGAAAATAAAGAATGCTTTTATCATTATTAAAATGTGTCAATTGTTACGGTCTATTTATCATTCCTATCTAGGACATGACTTCAGGAAAGGATAAAATGTACATTCTATTTCATAATAAACAAATGTTAATGATGACATTAAGTATATATATACATTGTCATATTGTGTTAAACACGATATGACGGTTTTTCTGAACATATTTGAAACGTGGTAAACTTTAACCAATTTTTTTTTTTAGGTTCGCACTCTTGAATCCCTTTATTATACCCGCAATTTTAAAAAAAAGTTCGGGTATATGGTTGTTTTCATGTTCCGTCCGTTCGTCTGTAACACTATCTTCTTTCTCAACTACTCCTACATGTACATTTT